GCAAACGATCTTGTCCTCGCGCGAATTTCCCGGAGCGGCGGGCGAAATTTCGCGGCGGCGCCATAATTGCGACGATTAAACGCGTCCTACCGGCGCGCCGGTTAATTGGACGAGTCGGTTCGAAAGTGGCGTATCAAGCGGCGATTTCGTTTTATATCACCGGAAACTATGACTCGTGAAATCAACGCCGGGGCACCGTAGTTAAGCGTCGATGCTTAATTAAACGTTAATCTCGCGCGCGATGCCGAACGAAGGCGGCGGTGGCGGTGGTGGTGGCGGCGGCGGCGTGAGTGGCGGCGCTGGCTGGGACTGCGCGGAGGCACGGGCGAGCGGAGTGGAGCGGAAGGGTGGCGTAGCCGGGGCGAAATTAAGGCTCGCCGGTTGATTCGAATTCTCCTTGAGAAATTTCCTTTCCCTGAGAACGCCCTTCGTGCGCTCTCTAGTAGTTACTAAACTGGTCGTCTCAATTAGCGAAACTTGCAGCTACGTTACCGACTTCCAATTAGTCATAGGTTGCAAACTGTATCGCGCTTACTGGAGCGAGACTAATAACTTCTAGACCATGAAATATATGCATAGATACACGATGCAAATTAGCGGTGCACAGCCGGGCGGACGTTTATGAAATACTTTAACGTAAGAAAAATTTCGGACCCCTGCGAAACGAGTCCTCGCGATTAAACGTATTTCTCGGCCCGGTCTTTTCCTTGCTCCATCCGCTTCGTCTTCTTCCTCTTGCTCCACGACCTCGTCCCACCCTCGGTCACCCTCCCCTGCTTTTCAAAGATTCCGGTAACGTCGCGATACGGATTTTTTCCCGCGTGAAAGTTCAACGTTCCAAGACGCGCGAGACGAAACGAGACAACGAACGTTCGCGTCTCGGGATCTGACACGTTTGCGCTTTCGAACGAACCTGTACGAGTCCGCGCTCGCGCGAATGTACGTATGTGTGTGTGTGTGTGTGTATGTGTGTGCGTGTGCTCTACACACGGACACGCGTATTCACCGACGACCGTCGATCCTCGGCGAATTAATGTGTGTGTATAATGTGTGCGTGTGCTCTACACACGGACACGCGTATTCACCGACGACCGTCGATCCTCGGCGAATTTACGAAGGCCCTTGTCGCGCGGCTGATAGTTACAGGCCTGGTCTCAATTAGTAGAACTTACGTCGCTAGGGTCCAATTAGACGTAGGCTAGAAGCTACACCCTGTTTGCTCAAGTTTGCCGTACCTATGCACCACCGTCCGTCGGATGGGGTTGCTGCCCGTCCTGTACCTACCAAGCCTGTTGAAGGTGTCTTTTTCCTACGCTAATGACTAATTAGCAGCCTCTCCACTTCACAGTATAATGACACGGGATACAGCCTTGAGCCGTCGGCTGGGATCATTATTAAACCCCGAAATTGCAGTCGTGCCTGCCGCCTCGTGTTATGCACCGCCTCGTGCCCTGTACTTTGCCCTATCCTGCGCTCTATTCCCAACCCTGTTCAACGCGTCTTCGTGTACCCTTGCCGCCACGCCGGCGTCGCGACGCACCGCGCTCGCTCGTCTCGCTACCCGCTCGATCCACGGCTCGAAGGACACGCGGCAAGATGCGGAACGTGACTCGACGAGGATGAGGGTGCGTTCCGCTTTCGCCTCCCTCTTGCACGCAACGCTTCCTCCGACTGACTACTTGCTCCTCTTCCTCTTTTTTCTCCCTCTTGGCGCCTCTCTTGTCTCCCTTTCACTCTCTCTCTCTCTCTCTCTCTCTCTCTCTCTTTCTCTCTCGCCTCTCGCCGCGAATATTCTCGTATTCGCCGATCCCCTTCCGTCTTTTCTTCCATTCCATTCGATTCGATCGCGTACCTTCCGTTATTGTTAATATTTGATCGGTTCGTTTCGCCGAGCCACGAAACGTCGAGTTCCATCGGCGGATACGAGATACAGACGCGTGAAATTACTTGTCTAATTGCTTCGGGACGCGATTAAATAGGTACGCGCGGAAATCCGGATAAGTACGGAGCTATTCTTAATTGCGTATCAATATTGCACGACCCTGTAACGCGAAACGAGAGCAGGATGCTGCGCTGTCGGATGACCCAAACGGTATCGTTGGATTCCGCCTTATTTTTCCAACTAATTTCATTCCCGACGCACGGTTCGAATCATCCCGATCCGAATGGTCCACTTTCGACCCTCCCACGCGATATTATACAACCGCCGTTCTTTCCCGCTTATTATACAACGGACAAATTCGTTTCGTTCTCCCGAATAATGCCCTCCCCGAAATCGTGCCTTCCTTCCTACCTTCCTTCTTCCACCGCCGCTTCTTTTACATTTATTTATTTCCTAAACGTCCGTCCCCGCTGGCTACTTTATATTTGACATTTTTATTAAACCAGCCGGTAGCCCCGCGTGTCCGTAGCGACAGCGTATCTCCCGGGGACGCGGCTTGCGATCCCTGGCCGCGCACGAGGCCCCGCTCGCCCGCCACGCGTTATCCCACATCGCCGCTGTTAGGGCAGTTTCGCAATCTCGCGAGGGTGCCTGCTCGTATCGAGCGAATAAAAACCCGTTTCCGTCGTCGATTCCTCGATCGGACGTGTCCCGTTTCCGACCCCATGTCGCACTGCTCGCTCCATTTCTCCGCTCGCGAGCAGACAGTCGACGCGTGAACCACCCTGTATCGCGCGTCCTTGGGCGTCCCGTCCGTAAATCAACTTTTCCCTTTACGATTCCGTCACGTCGGAACACGGCGTCGCCCGAGTGCGAGCGGCTTTCCCGCGCGAGAACGATTTTCGCGCGGTCGATCGGTTCGAGGAGTCTTCCACGGGGAGAGTATTTTTTTCCGCCCCGTCGAAGCGTCGAGATCACCGGTAAATCGGACTCGCGGTGCTACGTCGGATGCCGTGGCACGGTCAACCGATCGTCGATACCCTCGGCGCGCATTGTCGCGAAATAATAGAACGGTAAATTGACGGGATTAATTTAATTTTATCTAGCGCATGATCGGGCCCGGGCTTCCGATAACGGCGTGGAATACCGCGCGTGCGGAATTGGATACCGCGCGCGGCTGACAAATAACCGTACACCCGTGAAAAGTTCGATCGGCACGCGCCTGCCTGCTTCCGCTTAGGATGACTTCCGTCAGCGACGTGCACCCCGTCGCGATTCTGCCGGATCCGTGATCGTTGGGCTCTGGCCGGATGAAATTCGCGTCTGGCGAGGACGGTATCGGTGGACCGAGCGGACGAGCGGCATCGGCGCGGGAAAGGAGCGGACGGGAAGGAAGAGTGACGCGTGTAGGGGTAAGGAGCCGTTAGAAGGGGACAGGGAAGAGAGGGAAAAAATAAATCCGGAGGAAAAAATGGAGCGCACAAATCGTTTGACGAATCACGAGGCGCCTCTTGGATACCGGCGCAGGTGGGGCACGCTAAGAGGGGGCCAAGGGGATACGCGGTAGAGGGATGTTTTTTTCCTCCGCGGCGCCTCTTTAATTTGCCCTCCAATTAACGGACGGGGTCCTATTTGAAAAATACCTGCCACGAGGGCTGGCAATTATACTCCTTCCTTTTTTTTTTGCGCCACGAGCGCGTTATTAGCGCTATCCGTCGTTCCTCTAGCTCCTCCTTCTCCCTCATCTCCCACACTCCTTTCCTTCGCTCTCTCGCCCCCCTTCCACCCTCTTCCTCGTCATCCCTCCGACTACCCTCTCTCTCTCTTTCTCTCTTCTCCTCGACCCCCGAGTGGAACTGTGCCTCTTCCTTCCCACCATCCGCTCGTCCGCGTCCCACCCGCGCTCTCTGTCACCCTCGGTTTTTACATGCGTGTGGCCGCGTTCGCGTATATCCGTATCCTCGCCTGGCTGTATGGGTTTTACGTGCATCGGAAAGCGCGCGAGTGCCGGTGGTCCAAGGGGGAGGACACACGCGGGCTGGTACACGGGCGAGAGGGGTGGCGTCGCGGTGGATGGAAGGAGAGGAAGAGAGACAAACGGTCGGAAGAGGGAAACGAGAGACAGAGAGGCAGCGAAGGGAAGGGTATAGGTGGTAGGAGGTGCAGGAAGCGGAGGACGAGGCGGAGGAGGAGAGAAGGCGGGGAGGGATGGAGTCGGGGTGCTGGCGAGTTAGAGGAGTGGCGTTTATAACTCGTGCCCGGGTCTCCAAGCTTTGAGAAGGCCAATTAGCAGCATAAAGCTACAGCTCGGCCCCGGGGCCGAGGATGTTTGTATGTAATAATGGATTGTTACTCAAAGTATCCGGCTAATTAATTAAGCCCCCGCGCCTCGCCATGCAGCCACTCACCATTTTAGCCGGTCGTCCTCCTTCCCTCGGATCGCCTTTAGAACGCGTTCGTTCCTGCGAATGTGGTCGTTCGTGTTTCTCTCTCCTACCTGCCGCTTTTCACCCTCGCCAGGCCGCATCGGTTCGAACGGTTCCTCGGGATCGATCGCTCACCCCCGGTCACCCCGCGTGGATCTTCGAAACGCGGGGCCACCGGATGCTACCGCCGGCTCCGGAGTGCCTAACACGCGCTTCCGCGTGCATATCGGGATCGATGGATCGCGGATCCAAATCGCCCGATCGATCCGTGTCCTCCTCCTACGCCCCCCCCCCTGCCGCCGTGGATGCGTTGATCGCGTTTACCACGAGCTGCCCTGCTCCGTTTACGCGTCGGATTAATCCTGTAAAATATTAACGCGCTTTTTTCATTTATTCCCGCCGATGTTTTCGAACGCGCGACGTCCGCCGAAATAGTAAATTTCCGCGTCGATCCATCGAAAAACACGGGCACGAGAGATTTAGCGCGCGACGGCGGACGACCGGTCCAATTAGCGTGGATCGTTATTGCGTGTTGTCGGCCACTTAGCAGACGCTTATTATCGCGACGTACGTGTACATTACGCGGTGCCTGTCTGCGAGGCCATTGTTACGAACGCACAATGGTAGGGAGACACACACGATTCACGATGTCGCGGATTTAACGAGTCGCCCGTTCTTGTTCCGTGTTGCAGACGGCGTTCTAGCCGAAATCACGATGACGATGGACGTGAGCAAGTCGGAGCCGAGTAAAAATGGCGCGACGCAACACAAGTGCGCTGGATGCGGCAAAGCGATCACGGAAAGGTGAGATTCTTCGTCGTGTTCCGTTCTATTTTCGTCTTTTCAAAAAAAATGCCAAACGTCTAAGGACGAGGGAGAAAAATCCGATCGATCGATCGCGAATTGTAAATTATCGAGAGAGAGAGAGAGAGAGAGAGAGAGAGAGAAAAGAAAAAAATGAAATAAAAGGAAAAGACGAAAAAAGAAGAGAAAGTAAAACTGTTCGGTCGGTCGAGAGCTAAGCTTCTTTCGGATAGCGGAAATCACGCCGAAAGATCAGCTTGGAGGGTGATAGGTTGGAGGTCGGTAAGAAGGAAACCTATGGTCGGTTCTTCAGGTATCTCCTCAAGGCCATGGACCTGTTCTGGCACGAGGACTGTCTGAAGTGCGGGTGCTGCAACTGTAGGTTAGGAGAGGTCGGTTCTAGTCTGTTCACCAAGGCCAACCTTATCCTCTGTAAGAGGGACTACCTCAGGCTGTTCGGGAACCCGGGACACTGCGCGGCCTGCAACAAGGAGATACCTCCGTTCGAGATGGTTATGAAGGCCAGGACGAACGTCTATCACCTGGACTGTTTTGCCTGTCAACAGTGCACTCATCGGTAAGTTATTATCGATCGCGAGATCCTCCGCTCGATTCTGTCTCGCTTTTACTCGGAGATCTCGGGTACGCGTTTACCCGTCGCGTCGTGACGAACGGCGACGCCGTGATGGAAACGAAGGAAAAGGGGGAGAGTGTACGCGCGCAAAGGTAACAAAGACGACACGGGGGTGGGGCCGGAAGGAAGGGCGCGGGGGTCCCGGGTACAGAGAAATACAGGGGACGAAAAGAAAGAAGCGCGAGAGTACCGGTTTGCGAGAGACACGGTTCGCTCGGGAGTTGCTTTACAGGTCAGCTGGGAAATCACCCCGTGCTCTATCCGTCGCGACCTCTTCCTCCGCTCGCGCCGGCATTCCACGCAGGAGGAGGCCAACTTCTCGTCGCGTTACTCCCGCGCCACGTCCCAGCCAACCCCGCCTGTTCTCCGCCCCCCTGAGACCAGTTATGTAATTATCCGGATACTGCTGACATTTTTGTATCATATTGCTCCGCGCGCAGGCACACCGAGGCCGTGTCCCTAAATGCCGAACCGGAGCTCGCGACCAACCGTCGGGACGGGGGGGATCGAGGGGGTGGGGCGAGGAGGAAATTCGCGACGCGATCGTTGGCCGCTTCGCGACCTCGATCGCGAATCGCTCGGTTGGTTTTACCACCAATTTATCGCTCTCCTCTCGTCTTTCGCGATTACCCTCTCCCCCTTCCGCCGCGTCCTCTCGATGGTCATGTTTTATTAAAGTTCCGCAATTTGGCTCAAAGCGATCTTTCCCTCCACCCTTCCTCTTGATCATCCGGTCTGCCATCTGACGCGTAAATTACAACGGACAGAGCGGCGAGTAATTTGCCGGGATGCGAAATTTTATTGCCGCCGGTAACGAGGCTCGAGTAATTTCGCGACTTTACCCTCGTCGTCTCTAGCGGTCGCGATTCTCTATCTTCGACGTCGGCCAACGGTGGATAACGGGGGACAAAGAAACGCGCGGTGAATGACGATACGACGACGACCACGACGACGTCGACGACGACGGTGACAAGAAACGGAGAAGGACGGCGGGCGCAGGGGGTGGTTGTGGAAATGGGAAAAGAATAAGCTTTCGATGAAAGAGGCGGTCAATGTAAAACGGTGAAACTATGGAACCGTGGCGAAACACAATGCCGGCTTATTGACGAAACGAAAGGTTTGGAGGGTAGCAAAAGCGAACGGTTGGCAGCGGTCTCTGGTACGTAGGTACGTAAGAGGGCGCGCGAAAGAGAAAAAGCAACGAGCAACGGCGAGAGGTCGAGAGAGGAGAGAAGCCGCGCGCGGACGAGGGAGAAGGCGAAACGGAACAGGAGAATGTAGTTTGGAGCCAATAACAGTGGCTCGTCCAGGCGTGCGACAAACGTTGTACAGCTTCTCAAACAATGCGAACAAAAGAGCATCAATTTTACGTTTTTATCGCGTGGCATTGTCTGTCTTCGACAATGGGCCGAGCGGGCAGCGACGGAGCCGCGCCGCCATGCCCAAAGCAGTGTCGCGTTCATCGCGGTACAACCGACTTCAACGGAATCAACGAAACCTGCTTTTGTCCCCGTGATTCACCCCGGCACAGTGTTGCACACACGCGACGTTCTTGCGGTTCGTTGCAAGCTTTTTCCACGAACCCCGGGACCAATAGCCTCCGCGATTGCCCGTTTCGTCCAACGATTCGTTCCGAAACGCGCGCGGGACCAACGCGTTTTCACGCTGGATAACCGACAGCCTAATTTCTATTACAGTTTCCAACGCAAGCGGTGGCTTTGATCGCGCCCTCTATCGGAACACAGCGGTGGTTAGGAAGCCTACCTTTCGACAAAGCTTACCTTCAGCCTATGCTCGCGTTTTTTCGCCTAGATACCTGCCCACTATCGTCTACCTTCGTATCACGTATTCGCGTGAAGGTTTTCACTGGCACCGGCAGCGGCACCTTGGAAAATCGGTCGCGATGCTCGAGATACGAGAGCCACGACCAGAGAACCGTCTTTCGCTTTAAACGAACGAAATTGCCGACGATTAGATTTCATTGGTAATTTAGCGTACCGCCAATCTCGCCAATTATTCCCGTTTGATCGAAGCCCCAAACGTTTCGAGGCTCGGCTCGAAACGATTCCGGGCGTTCTCCGGCCGGATTTAGATATTTCCCGCGGCAGGGGCGAGAGGTGGCAGAGGATCGTTTCCAATTATTTCGTCGGTAAAAAACGAGCGGGCGAACTCGAGGAGGGCAATTATACGCGGGGCGCCGCGACGTGTAACGCGACGACTTAGAGTTTGCAATTAAACAGCAACAATTACACGGGGTAACTTTAGACTGTAATAACACGGAATAAAGGGTTGCCGGTGGCGGTGCCTAGCCTACCACCCTCCTGGTTAGAGGATGATTTACCGATCCAATTAGATATCTCTCTCTCTCGCTCTCTCACCCCAGCGCACCAACACTCCTGCGATCGTTTCGCGTGTACGGACAGTTTCGCACACGCACACACACACGCGCGCGCGCGCGGGCGCGTACGCGTCCTCCGATGCGCCCGCGCGCGCGCGCGAACAAGCGGGAATACGCGTCCCCTCGACGTTTCTTCGATCCTCTTGAGAAGACGTCCGGTCAAATTTAACGACCGCCCAGTTAATGCCCTCGCCGACTACAAATTGCAGTTTGCCGTCCTGGCGTCGCTAATTCGACGTCCCCCCCCGATTCCTCGTGCTCGCGCGACGCGTATCGAACCATCGGACAACCAGCGTCCGCTTATTTCTCAAAAATTGAAATTACTCGCCCCCCCCCCCGTTTCTTTTCGTCTTTCTTCTCGCGTCCTCCTTCGGTTCCCCCTCGATCGCGTTTACGACGATCGTTGGAACGTAGGCGCGTCGCCATTACGCACCGAGAGCGCACCGTACAAGCCCGGATAACGCGATATCATTGACGAACTTGGAACGGACGCGAGGAACTCGGTATAACGAGTTTCGGCATCGAATGGGAAACCTGTTCGAAAATAGCTGTAATCGCGTTGGATACGTTTATTATTCGACGTCGCAGTCTCGCGATTCGCATGCAGAACCAGTTACCTCTGGCCAGGAGAGACTTTGTACCTCGTCTTTCAATAGCACGTTCGTACCCGGCGTTCGTTTCTTATCCGGCCCCTCCCCTTTGAGAAAAGAGACGCCGAAAACCTGCACTTAGACCATAAGCGCGCCATTAATCGTGCCCGGCGCGGTTGTTCGGGCCGATACGCTTAATTTGCCTGGCAACGCCTCGCAGCTGGACGAGAGCGCGCGCGGCTTAATCCTCTTTTCTGCGTCGAGGAAACTCGTCCCGTCGCGGCAGAGGCGCAAATTAAACCGGTAACGCTGGCACGGGTCCCCGGACGCGATCGCGACGTTGCGACGCGGCGCGTATGCAAATTTTATTCGAGAAACCTGTGTCCCTTCAAAGAAAAAGATTCGCAGAGAAGAGGGCGCGGTGAATGTTTTATTTCGTCGGCGCTGCCGCCACGACCTGCCTCTGCTCCTCTTCTCTCTCTCTCTCTCTCTCTCTTTCTCTCTATCCCGGCCACGCTCCGGGGACGTTACAACTGCATCGAACACGTCCCATAAAACGAGTCTAATGGGGTCACGCATTGGCACCGGTTACTTTACTTATTTACGCGAAACCCGGCTTCCGGCCATGGCCGTCCGTTTTCCACGGCACCCGGACGTGTCCGATTTTTCTTGGATCCTCCGAGTGCGTCCAGGTCCTCCTGCTCTCCGCGACCCTCGTTAAACATTCAACCGAAGCGATCCGGGAGACCAGCCTTCTCTCTAGATTGAAATTTTCCACCTAGACCGCGCCACGGATCTCGTCTTCCCGCTACCAACGCTTCGCCGACCATCCTTTCCGCTTGCAGTTGCTGCTCGGTTAATATTTCACGCGCGCCGTTGTTGCGGTTCGTCGTTGCTTCCTCTCCTTTACCGATCCTTCGCCCTCTTTTCATCCACCCTTTGACTTAACCTCGTCTCCAAGATCGTTAGGGGTAGTAACTCGACGAGAGTCGACAGCTTTCGTTCTTGTTCCGCTTCTGCTTCTTTTTCTTCTTTTTCTTCTTTTTCTTCTTCTTCTTCTTCTTTTTGCTCGCGTGGAAATTCGACGTGGATAGTCGTTTCGTTGGAGCCGAGTTGGGATAACAAAGTCGTAATGGCAATAAAGCGGAGGAATTAACCGGGGGGATTAAATCGTAGCTGACACGGCGCGTCGAAAACGCTAGATGAAAGCGGAAAATCGGCGAGTATCGCGCGCTGGTATTGTGCCGCGATAGACAGCTGCGCCGGTCGCGAGAATTAGAGGAATGGGATTCACGCGGTATTATTCGCGCGATCATAATAGAGGCTGTGGAACGAGTGCACTCGTGCAACAGTATAATTCCGCCGGCTCGTAGTTATGCGAATATCTACTTCGATCCAGGCTCGCGCGGAGGTACGGCTGAAAGAATGCGACGCGAATCGTTGGTACTTGTCGCCTGGCATTCACGGCATATTACGATAAAAAAGAAACGCGCCAGCGGGGAATTTTAATATCGTCAAATAGTATTCAAACTCTCGACGCCTTCGAACGACACCGTGACCCATAAAGGTAAATTCCTTCGCGTTACTTTGTATCGATCACTGGCTAACGCGTCTATGCGCTGCGGATCTGTCGGCGCACGATTAACCCTCGAGGAAAGCGGAAGAAAAGAGAGAAAAGGGGAAAAAGAGAATAGGAAAAGAGAGGGTTTAACCCTTTGCACTCGAGAGATCGCCATTTAATCGGAGTCTAAAGATGGATGTTAATTGATATATCGATTTTACAATTACCCAACGATGCGTGGAACATCGAAGTAAAATAATTCTACGTCCTAATTTGCATACGATTTCTTATTTACCGTTTTGGAGATATCCTTGACTTTATGGCAGAAAGCCTTCGAATTACTATTTCCCTGTAACGAAAAAATCGTCGAGTGCAAAGGGTTAAAAGCCACCCCCGTGGCACGGGTCGGAGTGGGAGCGAGGATCGGAGGGGAAAGAAAGCATAAATAAGCAAGCACGGTTAGGTGCGAGGCAATTGACAAGGAGGAGAGCAGCAGTAGCAGCAGCAGCAGCAGCACCTTGAAAGCGGGAGGAGAGACCGGTCTCGCGTGGCGGAGGCCAGAAACCAGCAGGTGACGGTCAGCTGAATAGCGGGTAGAGAAAGGCGTGGGAGAGAGGCACAGAGGTGACAGAAGGGCGACGGAAGAGTGAAAGAGAAAGGGCGAGGGAGGAGCAGGGAGGAGGAGGTGGATCAGAGTACAGCGTCATTTAGCAGACGACGCGTATAATGGGGGAAACGAGCGAAACCCGGTATAAGCTGTGCTCGTCGGGAATGGCCGCGCGCAACGCGATAATTCTATTTGCCGTACGATTATGAGAGTATCTACCTCGAACCAGACTCTGCCGCTCTCGTATTTCGCTCTCGTATTTCCTACCGGGATCAAAGCGGATGTGAGACCGCTCGCGGACAGAAGCCCGATAATAATTATTTGTCCGACACGTTGCGATACGCTCGTTATCCACCGCTCGTCCCCTGCCACCCTTTGTCATTGTTTCCCCCTTTCTCCCCGATTTTTTATTTCCCACCCCTTTTCCTCCCCCCTTTCCCTCTTTTTATTTTCTCATTTTTTTTTTTTTATTACCTTTTTTTCCATTTTCAATTTTTTTCCGCTCCTCTTTTTCTCTTTTCGCTTTTTCTCGTTGCAACGATCAACCGATTATCGACGAGCTACCGAGCGACGACGCGACTGCCACGCGGCGCGGCTCGCGAATGAAAGAATCGGTGTGTGTCCGTGCTTTTTTCCCACTTTTTCTCTCCCCCTTTTTATTTTTTCCTTTTTTTCCTCTCATCCACGCTTTCGCTTTGAATTCTTCTCGCCGGTTTAAAAATAACGCGCTGTTTAACAGTCGTTGTTCTTTCTTTCGGTCGCGTCCGCGGTTTCGAGCGCGACGCGAGAAACGTCGAGAAGATCGAAGCGAGGGAAAATTATCCTCTCCCCCGTTTCGCTTCTTTCGGATCGAAGCGAGAGAACGGCGAACGGGGTTAGGCCCGTTTGAGCCGGTTCGCCCGGTACCGTAACACGTAACAGGTGACGAGAAACGTATCGCGCGCGGAAATCTCGGGATTCGTCGCGGCGCGGCCGTAGTCGGTCGGAAGCGCGCGAGTGGAAGGCGGCGCTGTCACCAGTAGCCACTCGTTTTGATTGCAGGTTTTGCGTGGGCGATCGATTCTATCTGTGCGAGAACAAAATCCTGTGCGAGTTCGACTACGAGGAGAGGCTCGCGTTCGCCAATATGTCGGTACAAACACCGGCCACGCTGGCGTACATCAAAAGGCAACTGCCCCCAGCGCCGACACCGCCTGGCCAGAACATGCATCCGGGTCACAATCCGCTGCAACCTCATCAGGGACTTGGCCAGTCGGTGGGTCAACATAATCACGTGTCGAACGTAAGTTAAGAGAGGACCGTAACCGTTTGAAGCGTTGTTTCACGCACGCGTGCGTAAAAGCATCGACGCCTTAGTCGGTGTGTGCCGTGGCCGATGACAGGCGGAGCCGGTGGTGTTTTAATTGGAAACGCTGCACGCCGGAAGCTCTCGTCGCGTGATCGGTCTCGTTCGCTCACCCGAGGGACCTGCGACGTACGATGCACGCTTCGCTTTGGCTTCCTTTTTGTCACGCTCGCGTTCCCTTTAGTTTCGCTACGTTTCGATACGCTTCGGTCCAACGAAAATAACGAAAAACCTCCGGCCTTTGACCGTTTTCCATGGAATTTTTCCCGCGCGTACCCCACGCCACCGGATCGAAATAATCTCTCGATCGCGTCGCCACGATTTCGGCTCAGAGCCTCGCGATCGACTCGCGGTGATTCGCGTTTACCCCGGAAGTAACGGTCTTTTTATTCGCCGCAGGGGCAGATGTCGGGGAGCACGCCGATGGTGAACGGGACGGCCATAGGCGTCGGTGGACCCAGGGCTCCCGGAGACATGAACAACAACGGGCTGTCGGGGCCAGCGTTCGGCCCGGTGAAGCCACCGCCGATGTCCATGCAGGCGCCGACCAGCTGAAACGAGGTGTCATCCCCCTTGAAGAAGCTCAGATGTCTCAGCGGTTATTGAGGCTATTCACGCTGACCGACGAGACGACCGAGAGAGGGAGCGGTACGGACGAGGATTAAAACGTCGTGACGAAAGTGAACGCGAGGAATAGGCAGAGTGATAGACGGACAGACGGACGCATAACACGTGGATCGGTGAGGAAATAAGGGGTTGCACGAGGCACAGGTTGCAAAGAGAGAGAGAGAGAGAGAGTGAGAGAGAGAGAGAGAATGAGAGAGAGAGAGCGAGGGTAAGAGGATAGGAGGAAAAGGAGGATAAGAGAGGGAAGGAAGACGGAATGGAGAACGAGACGATCTCCGTGAAGGATCTCGAGGACACTTCCGGGCGATCGGACGTTTCCGGAGACTTTCGTTCAGAGGTTGGGAATATTCACTGTGATCGCGAATTATATGAATATAAATTTATGGAAAGATACGATAGAACCGCATAGGACGTGAATATCGTGCACGCGCGACGAGACGAGACGAGACGCGACGCGTCGCTCGCCGGCGCGTGCAGACAGAGATACGGTTTAACGCACGTCTTGTAATATACGGTACAACGTGTAACACGATAAAATAGGCGATTTATGTAAGATACGTTTCTAGCGTGGAGTGGAACGATTTAGAAGCGCGTGAGCAAGGGTGGAAGGAACGACGGAGTGAGAGGCTGAGCGAATGGGGCAGAGTTTTCTGTAAATATCTGTATCGTCGACTCTGCAACACCGAAAGACTATCAGTATACGCAGACCAATCGATGAATTTCCATACGACACGGTACTCGCGATTCGTCCGCATTCGACGTTAGATCGGCAAGGCGAACGCGGGACGAGTCGAGGAAAAGAAACGGTATCGTCGTAAGTTCGTTCGTAAGTTACTGTTTGCTGTTTTCCAATTTTATCGTCCGCTCGAGGAACGAACGTACGGTTCGGTTCGATTCGATTCGATTCGAAAACGTCGACCGATCGAAACGCGCCACGCCTTGGTGGTTCGCTTGCTCCTCGCGCGAGGAACGCGAGCAATCTCACCATCGACCGTGTGCGAATGCGACGAATCTCGAGAGCGCTTTCTTTTTCCAAAATCTCGGTATACGAGGCGCGAGCAAAAGGCGTAACACGATGGCTAATACCAAAGATTAACGATGTAAGTTTCGATGCCCCTCGGGAGCGATTCGACGTCTCGGTGATAATAGCCGTAGCGGTTTAACTCGATGCCCGTGGCTCCGTTGCGGAGTCACGGATGCATCTTTAACGCGGCCTGCGAATCGGAGAACTCGCGAAACGAGGGGCTTAGAGTCGCGGCTTTACGCTTTAACGCCAAAACACGAGCGAGAAACGGTCCGAAACGACGAAACGGGAAGAAACGCTGCGCTGCAGGAGGGAGAGAGAGAGAGAGAGAGAGAGAGAGAGAGAGAGAAAAAAAAGGAATGGGACGTGGTAGAACGGCGACATCGGTACCAAAAGATGGCCGAAAATGTGACAACCGCGTTGCGTGCGCTGACAAACGATCCGTGGCGAACGTCACCGACGAAGCGCCACCGGGGATCGCGATCGCGACCATCGGCGAAGAGAACTCGTATGATCGATCGCACGATCGGCCGCGAGTTTCTTCGCGAGTCGCGCGCGATTCCAGCAGACGCACGGTCGCGCTGATACCGCGCCAGATACCGCGAGTCGAAACCACCGAATCGATTAAGTACAAAAGAGGTTACGCGAAGACGGAGGAGAGGATGTGCCGCGAGGCAGGCGATAGGCGTTCTTGTGAACGAGAGCGAGCGAAAGAGCGAGAGAGAGAGCGAGAGAGGGAGAGAAAGGACGAAAACTATAGGAAGTGATTCGGGCTCGGAACGCGCGACAGAGCCGAACACACTTTTCTCTCGTTTTTTTATCCATCTGTATATAAATATCATTTATTAGCGCACTATTAATATATTTACCGCCTCTATAGGGGCTCCTATTACTACCGAGAAAATATAACATTCTTATAAATACAACCACACCGTGAGTTTCAAGCGTGTCTTCATTTCGTCTCTCCAGGACCGGCCGTACCACCGAGCACCACCATACGCCGTCGTCTTTTATTCCCCTATTTATGGCTCTTTCCGCGACGTTTACTTCCCCGCCATCCCGCCTCTCCCTGCCTGCTCCTCTTCGACGAGAAACGAAATCGCGACACGCCGTCGTAGAGAGATCCAGTGATTCGTGCAGGCCGTATTGTCCGCGCGATACAGGGAAACCGGCTAGAACCGAGCCGGGACGACGAGGGTGGGCTGCCGGGAAAGGGGTGAGGGAGAAACAGCCAAGGGGAGGCAACGCGATTTCCCTAATGCCTTCCAGCCCACGGAGTTGAATGTTATTATGCACGGTGAAGACTTTATAATAGGACGTTGAAACTCTTTAAAACTCGCGGAGAACGGATCCTCTAACCCCCTTCGCTTCGTTGCGCTACCCTCGAAAGGGCTCGTCACTCCTCCGACACTCCAACGATTTTCCTCGTTGCGCTCAAAAATTGAGAGGTTCGTTCCGAGTGTCGCGCGTTCTTCGTCGCTTTACGGTCCATCGAGCCACCACCACCGGTTTTCACCGGCCTTTCTCCTCCGCCGCGATTTCCATTTCTCCCCAAGCTCGTACGAGGAACGTTGCAATCGTTGGAAACGAGACGCGGGTTATCGAGGAATCGGGGGTGCAACCGATCCGCAACGAGCCCGGCGGACCGGGCGTGTGCCACCCCGCGTGCCCGAGATCGCTAACGGGAACGTCGGGTCGCATAAATTAATCGATTAACGCGTAAGCGCGAGCAGAAGGCGACGCGCGAACCGATCACCGTCGCCTCGCAACCCCCCGCGCACGCCCGGTTTGTCCCTAGTCGCATTAATCACGTCGAAGCCGCGGGTATAGGGGGAGAAGCGAGTGCGGTGAACCGGGTAGGAGAAAGAAAAACAGAACCCCTTAAAATAATCTGGCCTGAAATGAAATCAGCCAAGGCAATTTCCAGCCCCTGTAGCCAACGGTGATGTTAACAGCGCCGGCGGTTTTATCCATCCACTCTGTGCCGTCCCCGATTCGAGCGCGGTGCAACCGACAAATGACGACGCGGCAACCCCCTCGCGGCGGCCCACGGAATTAAAGATCCCGAGATAAGGGTGTCATCCTTCGCTATGCATTATGTGTTCGGCAAAAAGCTCGCCCCCCGGGCTATCCTCGCGCTGCTCTGCGTCTCCTTCTCGCTCGGCCTCGCGCTTCTTCTCGCTCCCACCTCCCGTTCTACCTCCTCTCAATTTCCTCTCTGTCCGTCCTCTTCCTTTCTCTTACCACTTCGTTCACCCTCACCCCACGACTCCTCTTCGTTGACTCTGTTTCGCCCCGAAGAAGCTTCCAATTAATCTCCCTCGTGCTTTTTCCACCCCCTCGACGCGCAGGATGCCGCCGCATCGCGTCGCGTTTCCGCCGCCGTTTCGCCGCGTGTCGCCGGATCGCTTTATTCCGACGCGAACCAGTCGTCGCGAGTGACGATCGCGGCGATCGAGAACCGATCGTGTCGCGAACCGGAAGGTTCCCGACGGGGATGCAGGCCTGGTGGTTCCAGGCGACGATCAAAGTGTCACGTACAGAGCAGGGTCGTAGAGGGCCGGTAAGGTGGCGAGAGGGGGGCTCCTTTTGAAACTGCGCGGCCGTGTAGAGTAACTCACGGAAGCAACGGGGTGCACGGGAGCGCGCCGTGTTATGATCCGGACATCCTTTTCGGTCCAGGCGAATAGAAGTTCGACCAGCGTACGCGCTCGTATTTCAGGTTTTATCGCTCGAAAACGTCGAGGGTGGGCCGTCGTCGTCGTCGTCGTCGTCGTGCTCGACAAACCGTGCACCGAAAAGCGGCGTTCGCGAGACGAAGGAGATGCTGCCGCGACCCGCGGCGCCGCTCTTTTCTCACGGATAATCCGACCAGCACCGATCAGACGCTTCGAGTATCGACCGGTAGCGATCGTGCGTAACGCGAGAAATACTCGTCGAGGATCTATTTTTTGATCGACGTCGCGAATAAATCGAGACGATCGGACGCGATTGCCGAGACGACGTAGCGCTAGGAAAATTGTGGAAAAAATAGGGGAAACAAAGAAGAAGATTCATCGGAAGGGTGACCGCGGAGGAATAACGAGGTAATATCGGGTCGAGAGGGGTGGGAACGGAAGGATGGCGAGCGTAACTGTCGTTGGTCGAAATCGGAGTCGCTTTATCCCGGTGTATTGTCGGCGCGCATCCTAAAGCAATCACACAGGCGACCGGCCAACCCACCATTACACGATATACTGCCTTAACTTTGGACGGAGAAGCGACGTTGGCGTCGCCCTGCGTCGCGCCGCATCGCGAACGTTACGTATAGGGTGTACCGAAGGAAATAACCGTCATCTGTATTCGCGATAACATCGTAATTGAATGCGGTTGACGGGGATTTGCTGTACGGCAAGCGACCACCAGGCCCATAACCGTTCCCTTTTACCTCGGCTACCTTCACCCTCCGTCATCCTTCTCTTTTTTCCCCCAAGACCGTCGCGTTTCTTCCTACTCTCTCTCTCTCTCTCTCTCTACCGCCAGCGCTTTCTTTCGTTCTTTCTTTCTTTCTTTCTATCTTTCTTTCTATCTTTCGTTTTCTCCTTCCTTCCATCCTTCGTCCCAGTTTACCTTCTACTTTTCTACCCCTTCTTCCATCTTCGTTCTTTCGGCTGCGCCACCCTACTACCCGCACCCTCCTATCTCGCAGGGATATTAATCATATCGAGGTGCGGAAAAATCTACTTCGCCGACGTTTCGAGCGTGTCGTGGTGGCGTCACGTATACACGGCTGGCCAGCCACGTGCACGCGCGCGAGCGAGCTTTCGTCGTGGGGACAGGGGAACCGAATGGCGATACGAAGATAGCAAACGTAGGAAAGAAAGTTTACGAGGGGTGTTTCGCGAAAAGGGATTTTATACGTTCTCGTGTATGAAAGTGGACTCGAGTCGGCCCGACAAAAGAAGTCGCCGAACTCTTACCGACGCGTCGCGGCCCTCGTCTCTCGGCCGATTCTCTTCCGCTCTCTCCACGGAAACGGAGAGAGAGAGAGCGAGAGAGAGAGAGAGAGGGAGAGAGCAACGTCGCTGCCAAAGTGCGCGAACATCTCGATTTCGATTAGCAGAGGAACCCTTTGGTCGCGGCGCTCCCTCTTGGTATCTGCCGGTTAATATCGCGGGTTCTCCGATGCC